TATGGGGGTGAGGGTCATATGTCACCATTTGAAAGGTCCACCTAGTAAATGTGGTGGTGGGATTGCCATTGTGAGATACAAGCAAATCTCTAAGTGACACTCACAAAACAAGTTACTCACGCAAGCTGGAAAACACACCATTGATTAGAACTCAAAATGAACACCTATATTATTTGTGTTATATTCCAAAGTCTAGTTAAAAGGGACATGACTCAAGACAAATCAAGTTTTCGTGTTTTTTCACGTAAAAGTTCATATGCACTAGGTATAAGACTCACATTTAGAAGGTTCTTTGTATTGAAAAAAAATGATATGTCATGCTCCATTCAAAAATTTCTTTTTAAGGTTTTTATATATTTTTTTTTGGTTCGTCCCTGGAGTATCCACCGCCGACAGCAGTGACTAATCTCCTCGCTACGTTGGAGGCACCTCAAAGGGTGGGGGTTTTTATATATTTTGATATTATATTATGTTTTATTTAAATTTTAAATTAGTGTTGAATTGTTGGAAAGTTATTTTTATAATTCAAAATTTAATTAAATGTTTTTATTTAATTACTTTTTATGTTACAATATTTTATTAATTATTTATTTAACATTTTAGAGTCTGTTAGGACTTTAATATCTTTGACTAAATTTTATTCGCACGTACAATATTGTATCTTTTATTGTTAGTGCACGTTAAAAAATTTTCATTATGCAGAGTGCATTTGTTTCAAATTTGTTGCATGTTTCTAGTGCTATGGCCACATATGCACACGGACTATTAAATCAATATATATGGCTGTTGTTGAGAAAATAAGAAACACAACTCACAAGACATTACACAAATAAATGTGATATATTATAGTGTGTAAATGATCTCTTTCTAATTTTACTATATATCATTTTGATATTATTATTAAAGTGTTTTGTGTTTTGAAGTGATCTTCTATGATTCCAAAATCTTTTACTGCACACAATTGATCTAATGGTGGGTTGTCATATTTTGGGAGAAAAACACAACACAAATTAGTCTACTAGTGTAGTGGGACGTTTTCTTTTTAAGGATAGTACTTAGCGTGCTTCAATCCAAATTTCTCTTAACTCTTTTTCTTATTTACTTTAGTCTTTATTATTTTAGTTTATCATTTATTGATGTTTATCTTAATGAGACTCATTGATAAATATTATTTATATATTTCCTATTTCCATATTCTAATAATGATATCATCAACTATGGTAATGGTGACAACAAAAGTTGTGCTAGTGTTGGCGACAATGTCACTAATGTCGTTACTTTTGTTGTCGTCACCATAATCGTTGTTGTCACACCACCACTATCATTGCCATGTGATAACTATGGTAACGATAATGGTGACACTACTACCATTACCATCACTGTTATCATTATTGTTGCCACAACTGTTGTTGCTATGATGGTGACAATGCTTGTGGTGGTAATGACGATGCAATGACAACAATGGTAGTGATGGTGGTAGCAATTGCAATGGTGGGTGATAGTGATGTTGATAGTTATGAAAGAAATAATAATAATAATCTTGTAAGTAAGTGTTTATAATTGATTTTTAATCTTAACCATTAATTATTTTTATCTATAATACTATGATTTACTCCTTTCATCTCTTATAATAAGATATGTTCTTGTTGGATACGCTCCCAATAGCAACAACGATGGTGGTGGTGGTAACAATGCCATCAATGTTGTTGCTATTGCCATTGTTACCACCATTGCCACCATCACCATCGTCATTGCCATGTGTTGTCAAATGCCCCACATCAAACATAAGAGATCTATTACATCTGAGGGAGTCAAGCGTTGGAGCAATTGAAATATAGCTTATTGTATTCCATCACTGTCGGCAATTATTTGGGAGATCTTAGGCCAAAATCTTGATGCAGACCATATGTCCTTTGCTGTCACACACTTGAAAAACACATGCCATTCATTTTCAATACTTGCATTGCATGTAGATTAAAGCATAATATATGGCACATGCCAGCATTTGAAGGTTCAATCTTGTAGGTAGACATTCACTCGGTACCCGCCAAAGGAATATCTTCATTGTGTTAGGAACTTTCATGCTCCAAAGCAACCTCCAATTACCTGGGAGTTGCAAATCAACATTCAAAGTGGTATGTTCCATTAGCTGGTAGTACACTTACTTAACAATATACTTACCATTTTTTGGTATGCGACCAAGTGATCATATTAGAATCTTGGAGATGAAAAAGTAGAATACCTTGAATAGCTTGATTGTCTCTTTGGTTAAAAAATGTCGATAGAAGGGGTATTCCATCACCTTGTATTCTGGTCCATAAGATCCTTCACTGCAAGGTGATCAAATCCAACTAGAGTAGGAGAGGATATAAATGAGTTTGGTGATAATCTCAGCTAAGGATCTATCCAAACTTTGTACTAGAACCAAATCTGACACACCAACAAACTTCTTCCCGAATGACAGCTTGTGACACATGGATGCTATGCCAGACATAACTTGGGTTGTGACCCAACCAAGCCCCTAAAGCATGGAAAACAAATTTTCACGATTGGTTACATTTTGAAAATATTTCTTGAAACAACATTTTCTAAAATCAAACTAAAAGTATTTTCACTACCAATTTTCTCTACGGATGAAAACAAACATACCAAATGACTCCTAACATTATTGATTTCAAATCCCAAAGAATTAATATTGTTTTTGGTAGTGAGGATGAAAGGGAAAAGAAGTGGAGAAATAGATAAGAAAACAAAAGAAGAAAAGTAAGTGAAAAATAAAATGGAAGTTGAGATTGTTTAGTAAGAGAGAAGTAAAAGAGAATTAGAGGAAAAATTATTTTTTTATTGATTTATTTTACGTTAAATAAAAAAGAGTAATGTTACAAATTAATTAACAAATATTCTCCTTTATAATTAAGTTTCTTATTCAATTTTTTTAATTAAATAAGTGATATAATCTTATGTAGTGATTATAATTGATTATATGGACTTTTAGAAAGTATCCAAATGCATTGAATGCTCACATAATTAATTATGCTCACCACATAATTGATTTTATGGACAAATCAAGTTCCTAAAGAACTCAAAATTTGGTTTCCATAATTGATTATGCAACTATAATAATTTTAAAATCAGATTGATCAAGACATTGATTCAAAGTTTAATAGTTTAATCGTGTTGAACTAGTATTAATAAAATAATAATATTGTTTAAACAATACATAAAATAATATTACATAAACATAATATCATAATTTTATAAAACTAAAATTAAAATAAAACATCATTTTATATATTTTTATTTTTTAAAGTGCATGTAAAAGTCTAAATATAATATTTATGTTTAAAATGCAATGGAATATAATAATATATATTAACAAATTTATATTAGAGCAGAAAAATCTTAAATAATTATAATATAATATATAAAATACAAAATATAAAATATCATGATATAAAAATTATAAATTAATATAAATGACTAAATTATACCTTTATAAGAAAATCATAAAAAAAAACAAAAAATAACATGATTTATTCTGATTTATTATTTTGGATTATATATATATATATATCTATATATATATATATATATATATCATAAAAATTTTAAATTTTTTTAGAAAAATATAATTTTTTAAAAAAATATCAATTCAATCTAGTTTGTAGACCGATTCTTGATCAATTTTGTGCCGATTCATTTAATTTATGATCGATTGTTTCACACACTGATTTTATGATTTTCTTAGATTGGTAGATTAATTGATTTTCGATTTGACCGATTGAACCAACCAATTCAATTTGATTCAAACAACACAATGCAACTATCATAATCGATTATGGTTACTCATAATTACATCAGAGTCACTAGAACTCTAAATTTACTCAAGATTTGGGTTTCATTTTCAATTATGATTGCTCATAATCACATCACAAAATCACTAGAAGTCAAAATTTGGGTGAAAGAAATTGTACACTCAGGAGTGTATGAGGGCACAAATGTAACATCTTCACATTTCCCTTCCATCCACTCTCTTTACTGAGTATTAAAAAAACCGTAAGAACGAAACATTTTTTTTTTTTACTTCTCTTCTAGTCCATTGTACAAAACACAAATTCAAGTATTTTTCACTCTAATATTAAAACTATGATCGATAATTGACTCAATCAAAGTACTGATCATTAGGTCACTAATTGAACAACATAAATATATATTTAAGTTTATAATTTAAATAAAAGATATACTATACAAATTACCAAATTCATCAAATAACAATTAAACATCTTAACCTAGTGGTTACAAAGCTTCCATCCTTTCCACAACACCTTAGTACTTAGTAGTTTCAGCTAAGAATCTTTATATATTGTTATTTAGGAATTTTAGAGCTCCCAACCCTATACAAGTGAGCACATTGAGCAGTGCAGATCCTCCTTGAGTCTCGCAACACATTGGGCTGCATAGTTGATAACTTGATATATCATGGGACAACATGATGCTTATTATATCTGCAGAGTTTCACATTTAAAAAAGAAATCGATCCAAGTTGAAGCATAATTTATCCGTACTTAGTTAAATTGGTTGCATCAGGTTTATATCACATTCGATCTAATGAGACTTGGACTGACTTTGGTCACTGAATCCCAGATCAACCGCATTATACAATTCATGTACCAACCTCATTTTAGTAGGTTATAGCTATTGATTTTGTTGTTATTATAGACATATTATCCAATAGTGACTATTTATTCATATTTTATATGACACGATATACGTTAAAATAAAATAGGATGATGAAGTATAAATCACCTTTTGAATTTTGTTAAATTTTATAAATTTGATATACTTTATGAATACTTTAACCTCAATGATTAAATTGATAAAATTTACTTTCGATAAAAAAAAATTATTGGATGTGCCACTTTAGCAAGTTTTAAATCTGATATCATTTAAACCTGTCCCTATATGATTATGAATGTATGTACGTAAGAATAAAACATGCATTTAAGCGATGGAACTCATTGCACAGCTTAATGACAATGCCATTTACAATGATTTTGCATTGTTCTCTATAAGATTACCATTTACAACTATTTCAACTTCTCGTGCTTACTTTGAATAAGCTCAGCAAAATACACACCAAGCACCACTACGCATAAATATATGGTATAAAGAAGATATATTCATATACTCATCAGTTTTGCACTATTTGAATTTTCAACCAAGCACATGAACTCACACAAGGCAGTAGTATATATATCAAATGCAGTAAGTTGGAACACTGACTGGTCGATACACAAAGGTCCTGACAGTGTGTGAGTATCCTGATGGGTGATTGTAACTGAATTTGACCCCCAAGCTGCCCTCACCAAGTTGAGTGCAATGCTCATGGAAACTACTGATTGGTCGGGCGAGACACGCATCCCAACGGTCACTCTCGGGCATTGTCTCAGCCACTGTGTATACCCCCTTAGCATCTGTGAAGGCCTGATAATTTAGAACTTCCCCAGACTTGGTGATGCAAAGAACAGCAACCTCAGCACCTACATGAAAGCACAATAATTCACTTTTCTTTTGTTTAGAAATAATAGTAAGACAATATGTTACAATCATGTTACGATCAATTTGTGGAAACTGCATTCTGAGTAAGAGCAAGATCTTGAAATGCACTAGCAAAGGGTAAATAATTTGCAGGAATATACTTCAGCTTCAAACCAACTGCAGAGGAATACAAGTTGATCACAGCGACATGCCTTTGTTTAGTTTTAAGTACTTTCGGTAATGATAAAAATGACATGTCCTTAATTTTTTGGTTGTTCCAAATAATGTGAAGAAATAATGAAGACTGAAGAGTCATCATAGGACTCAAAATGAAAAGAAAAATACAATTTATTTGAATGGTTTTCTGAGATTCATGTAAATCAAAATAACATGAATAAAACTCTACTTCTATATTGCAATGCAAGCAATCCTGGGACATCACCAATTAAAACATGAAATTAGAGATAGAGTGAATCTGTAAACTGATGCCAATAAGTATTAAGTCATATATTTTTCCAGAGGATGGTTGCAACTAATCCTATCTTAGCTTCAACAGAGTTGTCGGGAAAGTGAAATTATTTGCTTGAGACTGAAATCAAGAGAAAATGGAGAAGGCCGAAACTTCAATTGCAGCTTTCACATCTGAGATGTAAAATTAAACTGGGTCATAATTCCCACATTTTTGTGATTGTAAGGAGTACTAATTACAACTTTTTACCCTTTGTATCATCATCAGCATCCTTATAATGATGTATCAATTTATATCTTTAAGTAGCTTTGAACTCACAAGAATTAGCATGATCACTATATATATACAAGCATAGATCAACATACACAACACATAAAACAGTCTTCTAAACAAATACGAAAAGATAAGAAAGAAAAATTAGACATGTTCAAAACAATTAGAGATTACTAGTCATTTTTACAAATAAACTTCAAATGACCAAATGGAAGAGACTATTATGAAACATTCAAACATATTATTTGCCAACCAGTGATACCATTATTCAAAACCAATAAATAAGGGGTCACTGGGACAGGAACATAAATCATCCACACATCAAATTACACTTGGAATTAGGAAAAAAAAAAAATCCCTCCCAACAAAAGGTTACTCAGGTTATGCATTCCTGTGAATATCTGCAAATCAATTGATCAGACCAACCATCCTATTCGCCTTCTGTTGATTAGTGAAAAAAAACAGAAGACAATGCAGGATAGGTCGTCATCATCATCTCCTTATGACAATAAACAAATTCTAAAAACATCTTCCTTGTTCCATCCCATGTTCCACCATGTCTAACAGGTTAATAAGGACCATAACAATACAGTGCAAAGTCTAGTCCAAAAGGTTTTACAAAAACTGGGTCCGCAACAGCAATTTTAGCCACAAGGTCAAGGTTTTTATTTAGATATCCGGGACATCGTCTGTTCCCAATTTCTTATAATATCAAGGATCGCAACAACAAAATTGTATCCGCAATCGCAATTTGAAACCTTGGTCTATTTTCACGGATCAAAAACAAACAAAATCAAGCAAGAAATTGAAGTGCTAAACAGTTAACACTCTAACCACTAACCACACCACCGATACCAACACACAAAAGACAAATTTTCAACCAAGTTGAACAACTGGTGGAGAATGATAATAAGGCTCATAAAAAAAAAAAAGCAAACAACTTTCATGAAAAGGGGGACACAAAATTGAACCAAAACGCCAATTCAAAAGAGAGAGAGAAAGAGGAAAACCTTCAAGAACATGGTCTTCAGGTCCAAGAGAAGAATCCCCACAAACATCACAAACAACTCTTCCATGGATTTCACCAGTCCAAGCACTCACACCCGAAGCAGATAACAACAGCAACAGAATCAAACCCATCATCGTCTTTTGCATCTCCATGGTTGAGATTGAGAAAAACAACAAAAAAAATGGCACCTTTCTGTTTTCTCAGGGCACTCTGTTTTTGGGTTTATGGGTAGTTTTCTTAACGCTCCTAAAGGGTGCTCACAGTGCGTTGATTTTTCCACCGACACAACAGCTAAAATGCTGAATCACCGAGTCCAACGCCCCAGTCAACCCATGTAGGGACTGAAGTGTCATTATGAAAAAAGATCAGGGACTAAATTGGAAAATGTTAAAATTATGCCTCAGGCTAACTCTTATATAAATACTAACCGAACCCTCTTTATTGTCATGAGTTGTGCGGCTTCAGAGAGGGTTACTGGGGGAACTGGTAGGTTACACTGTTCTGGTGCATTGAGAATTTCAGTTGATGTTTTTGTTGTAGTTTTGTTGTCGTTGTTGTAATTGTTGTGTATTCCATGCTACATGGTTCAATTTTTGTTATTTTGTTCATTGGGTGTTTCTTATCGATGATTCTGAAGAGTGGAAAATTAACTGAGTCATGATGTTGTTTTAGTGTGAAAGGCAATATGCTTTGGGGATATGCTAGAATAGGCCCTCGCAATCATGCTCAGTGTCACTTTTACCAGATCTGTTTTCCTGAGTTTTTCTTAATTTTAATATTTAATTTTAAAATGTATCAAGGTTCCTTTATTCTACCTTTTTTTGATGGGAAAAGCGTGTTTTGTTTTTCTTCCCATTTGATAGGTTACAATATGATTGTTTTCAAGGTTATAATTCTGATTGTGGTTAGGGTTTTGATGTGATCCTTTGCATTTGAGAAAATTCTATACAAATGCTGTTACAGTTGTAGTCGTGGAGATCTTAAAAAATCCGGATGTTGCGACGATTGCATTGTTGGACCTTTTCTTTAGACTTTGGTTAATTTGGAATTTGGATCCTCTCCTGCAATATTCTCTCTCTAGCCTCTCTCCTGCAACATTAATATATCTAATGGCTCAAATTTAATCATTTAAAAAGTTACATTAATTATAAGATCAAATTTGAGCCATTAGATATATCTAATGCCTATTAATATTGTAGGAGAGAGGCTAGAGAGAGAATATTGCAGGAGAGGATCCAAATTCTTAATTATGAGAAAAATAATACTAGATTAAATTTGAGCCATTAGATATATCCAATGGCTATTAATGTTGCAAGAGAGAGGCTAGAGAGAGAATATTGCAGGAGAGAATCCAAATTGCATAATTAATACTCACCTCTCTCTCTCTAACCAATTGGGACATCTCTCTTAACCATTTAGAGTGCATCCTTATACTACTTCTCTCTATTACTCTTCTAATCAATTAGAATGTATTCATTTTAAAGTATAATTAATATATTCTATCAAATTAAGATAACATGTATTTTAATCTAAAAATAATTAATACATCAAATATTATGTATTGGATCTTATATAAAAAAAATAATTATTATAAGTTAAGTCTTATAAATAGAAATTTATTTTTAACTGGGTCTCATAAATAGAAACCGGTAGTAGTATTTTTCAAAGGAGGAGGATGATTTTTTTATTTATTTATTATTATTATTATTATTATTTTTTATCTGTTGGGTACTTTGAGATAGATTTTTTGAGGGTTATAGACATATAGGTTTCCAGTGGATGCTTCTGGGAATGGCCTGGTCTTTTTTATTTTTCATGGCTTTCAAATAAATGTGGTTAATATAGATGGGTGACTATGTTGCCCTTTCTTGTCGTGAATGGCTTTCCCTATGATGATATGTAATCTTTAAAGTAGTGGACCGAATTCCCTTGATGAGAAACGAAATCTGAGGGATGGCCAAATCTGTTAGTAGCAGTACTTGATATTGTTGTTCTGCTGCACTTTGTTGAAGCATTGTGCCATGTAGCATTCATTTTGAATCCTAATTTAAAGTGCCTAAACAAAGTTTTATAATTTTCTACCGCTTCAATTATCCATTTGTGTGAAGTGCTTTGTGTCATAAGCAGTTTAGTTTCATCTATTTCCAGTACTGTTAGATCACCTTCCTTAATTCTTACCATGGAAGTGTTTCGAGTCATAGCCGTGCAAAATCAACTTACTAAATAAGGAGGTTTCCCAATAGGGTTTTCCTTCTGGGTCCTCCTCTCCCCCACTTGATTCATATATTGGTGAGGCATAGATCCTCTGCCTTTGGATCTGTTACTTTTATCTTGTTATCGTTAAACTTATGGTGAATGAATTATCATCACAATAAGATTCAACTAACAAATAGGAGTTCAGCTCTTTTGTTGCTTGATTAATGTCTCAGCTTGCAAGTGGGAACACTTTCTAATGTTTATTCAAAGTACTAAAAGTGTCTAACCAAAATTGCATAATTTTCTACTGCTTCAGTTGTCCATTTTGCCAAAGTATTTTGTGTCATAAGCAGTTGAATTTCATCTGTTTCATCTACTGTTATAGCATTTATAAGCATGGCCCTTAAGATCGCCTTCCTTAATTTTTACTGTGGAAGCGTTTCGAGTCATAGCTGTGCAAAATCAACTTACAAATTACGGAGGTTTCCCATTAGGGTTTTCCTTATGGGTCCTCCTCTCACCCACTTGATTCATATATCCATGAGGCATAGACCCTTGAGAACTTTGGATCTGTTACTTTTATCTTGTTATTGTTGATCTTACGGTAAATGACTTATGGTCACCATAAGATTCAACTAACAAATAGTAGTTCAGCTCCTTTGGTGCTTGATTAATGTCTCAGCTAGCAAGTGGGAACAGTTATCAAATCTTGATTCCATATTTTTTCCTGGCTTGTACCTTGATGACTGGTTTGGTGTTTGCTCTGTCTGCTGTTGTTAGTTGTGTTTTAGAAAATACAGAAGACATGGTTGATAAATCAATTAGATGTGTGAAAGTAGAAGTGCTTTCTGATCTCAAATTTTGTGGTATATTGTTATATCGGACTTTGTCTTCTGTGGTTGGAAATACTGAGATAAGTTAAAATAACATAAATCACTAAATTAGTATATTTATCTTATGCAGAAGGGAATTGAAAAAGATCGTCCCCCTCCCTTTTCCTGTTCACTCTTGTAGATTTTGGGTTGAGCTCATTTATGCCCTCATCCTCCAAAAATATTTTTGAATGCACTACTGTTTTCAAATTACATACACTAGCTACCATTTCAGAGAGTTAGTTATAGCAAATTAGACATGATTTTGTTGGGTACATATTGTTTCAGCACAGTCCCAACAACAGCATCAGCATACCCTTCTCTACCTCTAGGGCCCTACTTTAACCTGCACAAGCCATCCCTATATTCTAAACCATCCAAATACACCTCTCTTGTAATCAATGGTCACAGAAGGATGTAAGTTCTCCTGATTTATTCTCCAATTTCCATTGACTCCCCACTTCGTAACTTATAAATCTAACCATAAAATAAAATCTGCAGCTGTGATCTCTTTGACTTGCACCAGGAGCAAGTCCCTTATGAAGTGGCATGGTCATGGCAAAAGAAGATTGTCAGTGAGAAGAAGGCACAGGTTGAAAGGGAAGGTGATTGCACTGACACCCTTATTATTCTACAACACCCATCTGTTTATACATTGGGTACAGCGAGCACCGAGGAGAACCTCAAGTTTGATGTGAAAAATGCTCCCTTTAATATTTATCGCACTGAGCGAGGTGGAGAAGTTACTTACCATGGCCCTGGACAGGTGTTTTCTCTAAATTACTTTCTACAGTTTGGAAATTTTTGTATTTTGAGTAGTAATTCATAACATTTGACTGTATTTTGCATTACAGCTAGTTATGTACCCCATCATCAACCTCAGAAGATACAAGATGGATCTTCATTGGTACCTTAGGACTCTTGAAGAGGTTGTCATTCGTGTTCTTTCTTCAGCATTTTCAATCCAGGCCTCTAGGCTGGAAGGGTTAACTGGTGTTTGGGTTGGTAAACCTCTAAATTGAAACCCTATCCTATTGATATAACATACTTGTAGTTTGATGTCTTTTTTCCTCTCTTCTTAATCCTGCTTTAAGCTATCTTTATTTTTTACAATTTACACACATTAACAGTTAATAATTAGTACTGCCTTGCATTCATCCTGTTTTAATCAGAGTAAATATCAAATATCATCTAATATGATTTTTTATTCTTGTAATATTGGAGTAATTTTCACGTAACATTCCTTGGGGAATTTATTTGTGTTACTGTTAGACAAGATTTAAGTTTCAGACATATATCATGGCAAATTATGTCAAGATTACAAATATTATATTGTTGGTATTCTTGGTACACTGCATACTTGAAAATAGGTTGGATAAATTTTTGTTCCTAATTTGTGAGTCTCTAGATCATATTTAACATTTTAGACGTTGCTGTCTATAACTTTAGTTTAGATTGGTTGTTGCAGTCCCTAAATATTCATGATAGAGAAAACAATAGTCTAATTGTAATGATTCACTAGAAAATTGTACTATGTGCCTAATAGATTTTGATTTCTTGGTGCTAACACCATCTACCAAATGAGATTGATGTGACTCAACTCTAAACCTTGTGAGGCTGTTGCCTTGTTTGGATTACTATTTCTTGGATTTAAGGTAGAGACTACTATAGCTAAAATATATTATAAAACACATTCAATTGTGCTTGTGAATTAATCATGATTCAAATTTAGTGCTATTTAAGAAGAGTCTAAAATCTTTTGTCTTTTCACATAGAATTAGATTTTCACCTCGATGATATACGTAATAAAAGATTCTATTAAATATTAATGTTTATTATCAAGGTAAAACTCTAATTATAATAAAAGAAATAATTCCAACAATACTTATGGTAGTGTATTTAAGTTTTGCCCTTTCTTTTATTTAGTCAGTAGTTTATTACAGGAAATGAGAAACTGGCAGCTGTCGGCATAAGAGTGTCTCACTGGATAACCTATCATGGCTTAGCACTTAATGTCACAACAGATTTGTCTCCCTTTAAATGGATCATTCCATGCGGAATACGTGACCGGCAAGTAGGAAGCATTAAGGGGTTGGTGAGAGAAGGTAAGTTATGTGTTGGTCATGGAACTCCTGATTTGTACAAGTTTGATGATGCCAGTCTTATTCATATTACACACAAGTCCTTGATTGAAGAGTTCTCACAAACATTTCAGCTTGAGTACTGTTACAAAAATATTTCTGCCCTCCATTGTATGGAAGGAAACAAATCTTCCTAACCCAATAGACACAGCAAAGTTGAATTTATTTGATAGGCATTAGTGAAAATATAACCAGTACTTTTCTAGATTTACAAATTGCTTGGGAAGAAAGCTAGCTCTGATAAAATTATTGAGATTTTGGTTCATGTATCATGACGAAGGTGATTGGTTTTATTTACGTTTGTTTGTTCTAAGCAAGTATACATATCTTTGAACATTGTTTTATAAATTTACCATTGTATAGACTCTGGCTTGTAAAAGTTTACCAAAATAATCTTAAAATGAGTAAAAAAGTAATTACGAATTTTTTTAGGGAAACTATTGAGCCTCATTCTTATGGATCAAAGCATAATTACTTCCATTGCATGTGACTATTTGCTGAACATTCTTTTCTTCAATCTTAAAATATTTGTAAGAAGTTCAAATAATTCTTCCTTGGTCTTCATATAAGTTGAAGCATCAACACTCTTTACAAGCATTAATCTTGATGAGCAATTTACCTAAAATAAATATTCTATTGTTATCTGTCCAAGCATTCTACGTAACTGAGTATCTGCAGTTTACCCAATCCTTCAACAATTCATTAGCATGTTTCAAGACCCTTTTTAAGGTGTGTAATTCATCTCATAATAACCTAGAATCTTAAATGGGGACCATAATTTCCAACATTCTCAACCATCAGTTCGAAGCTAGTTGATTGCATAACTTAAAAGGAAGTCCATTCTCTCAAAAAAAAAAAAAATTGAAATATATTGGTAAAAATAATTATTTAATTAGAAAATTAGTTTCTTGCTATTAGTTTTTATTTTTTATTTTTTATTATTATTTTTAGATAATTGTTAGATCTAATGAGCTCTATATAGAGTATTTACAAAGCCGAATCCTATCTTTTATTAATGAATTACGCAATGAGTTATTTCTATGGTTCTCCTTTCCTTCTCTTTTGAGATCTATGATCTTTGGCTTCATCAAGTTGGAGTTACTTGTATCTCTCTTCAATTTTCTGATATATATTGAATTACTTTTGTTCTTGCTTCCTTTTCACATTTTTACACTTCCAAGTTGAAATACACAACTTTTTATGTTCTTTTTTTTTTTTTTTTAAACTCTTGTAACCCATTCAGGCTTGAATCCTTTTTTTCTTGTGATTCAAATCTTTAAGACTATTTTTGTTCCATGCTAGGTAAATGTTCTTACTAAATTACATGGTTTCGATGGAAAACAACAAATGACCAAATGGTGGTTGGAAACAACCAGAGAGCAGTGAATGGGGTCACACAGTAACTGCCCAACAGGGTTAGAGAGAAGAGAAGCACATGAATGAGAAGACACACCACGGTTTTTTTTTTTTTTTTAACCGGTTTGAAATTATTGACCCGAAAACCCAAAATATTCCACACTTGGCTCTGCAACGTTAAAAGTTAAAAACATATCTTCACGTTTTGAATGAGTCGTCAATTTCATATTATTTTGTTAAATAGTCTTAAAGAATGAAATTATATAAATAATCTTAAAAATATTAAAATTCTCTCTGTATAATCTATCATGTATTGAAATTATTTTGAAATTAGTCCCTAATATTAATAAAATATATAAACTTAAGACTAAATCGATGAAACTTTAATATTTTGAGGATTATTTATATAATTTCATTATTTTAAGATTTATTTAAGAAAGACACGGAATAATTAGGAGATAATTTTTGTAAGACAATAGATTTCTCCCTCAATAAGGAAAATCCGTTACTTATTTTGTTTTAATTTTTAAAAAGTAAACAACTTTTAAGGGACTATGCTTAAACACATGTATTTTTAGTTTTGTTTTTCAATGAGAGAGATTTTAAGAATTTTTCTTTAATTCTTAGATATTAAATCATATCATTTTTGTTATTGCTAAGTTAAATTTTAATATTTTTAATAATTTATTAATAGTAAAAAATATTTTGTATTACTATAAAATTATTTATGATATAAAATTATAATATAAAATATTCATCATAAATTATATTTTATAAGATTAAAATATTTATTTATTATAAACTTTAATTATAATATAACTTTACATATTAAAAAATATATTTATTAATTATGAATTTTAGTTATATAAAATAAAAAATATAAATTGTACATTGTACAGGCTCATATTAGTAAATAAATAATTTTATGTTAATTAAAATAATATAATTAAGGTTAAATGTTTGAATTAAATATGATTTTTAACTAGTATTTTAGTTTGTCTATTGCACATATAAATATTTTTATATAATTAAAATTTATAATAAACATTTTTGAATATTTATATAATATTATAACTCAAATTTTTAATAAGTATTTTGAACATATGAACTATTTTTTATAATTATAATTAATAATTTAAATTATCATATAAAATTATTTTTAATTATTAATATTTTTAAAAATTATTAAAATTTAATTTAAAGATAAATATAAATGATGATTGATCGAAAGATACAAGCTATGAAGAAGGCTAAGTATATAAGAAATTACAAAAGAATAATTTATTCAGAGAGAATTTTGTATTGGTTACAAAAGTAGAGTGTTACTATGTACCTCAAAGAAGAAAAATAGAGATAATATTAAAAATGTTTAATTAAGAGAGTATAAAAAGTGAATGATTCATTTCAAATTTATGTAGTTTTCTTGAGCTGTCTGTCGTTGGTGACCCTCATCTTGTCCTTGTGGCCACTGTCATTCTTTGCTTGTGATTTTCCACGAACTTGGTCACGGAAGGCGGAGTGTTCCTCCATTTGGATATATCCAGCAGCACGGGCATAAAGTTTGCCCATATCGCGAGGAGCTTCACGACATAGACTGTCAACGAACGGTCCGGGCTTAAGTGCCATGAGCATGGCGTGTAGAGCGACCTCAGGATTCAGATTTCGGATCTTTACCGAGATGGCGGCGAATCATTCCATGAACGTTCGGAGTGGTTCATCATCACCTTGTCAGAGACTGGCCAGGGCAGCTGATGTTATGTGATGAGGTCGGCTCGTCGCATATTGTGCTGTGAACCGTCTGACCAGTGTGCCGAAGCTGTCAATTAACTCGGTAGGTAGCTGGGTGTACCAGTTAAGCGCGGCCCCTTTGAGCGAGGTTGGAAAAACCCTACACAGGATAGCATCGTTATTAGTGTAGAGGTTTACCTGCGTTGTATACAGGTCGATGTGCTCATCCGGGTCCGTCGTGCCATCGTAATGGTCGAGGTGGAGAGGCTTCCATCCGTGAGGGAGCGGCGTCTCCATGATGCCATCCACGAAAGGGTGACGGCGGAAGGTTGCCTGATCCCCCGTGACATGAGTAGGGGCCTTGTTGACTTCGTGGGCCGACTTGTTCGTCGGTGCATGAGATCGATGCATGGCAGGTCGTGGAGTCGATGCCCTAGTCGCAGTCCGGGGTTGGGAGACCAAATGCCCTTCTTCCTCGTGGAGGTTGCTCGCCTGAGGCTGATGTTAATAATTGTAAGTACGTTACTGACAAATGGTTACAATTCCAAATGGGTCAATGATAATCCAATAATGGAGCTAGTGCATTAAAATGACAACATGGCTGCTAATGTTTTAAATGAAGACATGAAAATGTGTGAGATACTACAAGCAAACATCCTACTCGAAAAATTTTCCACTTCTTGGAATGAGTTTAGAAGCCATCTAAAACACATGAAGAAAGACTTTACCCTGCAAGAACTCATTAGTCACATGAGAAAAAAAGAAGCAAATTGTATCAATGATAAGTCTCTTTCTACCCTTCTTAATTTTTTTTAATGTTAATCTTGTTGAATCTACAAAAAATAGGAATGAAAAGTACACAAAATAAAGACAATAAATAATTCAACAAGTATTATGGTATGTTCTAGAAAAATAAGGAAACTTGTTTTGTATGGGGGGTGGGTGTCCCCGTTGCTGAGCAAGGGGCGCCTGCCTCTGCCTCTGTCGATAATCGTGGAAAGGGGCCGAGCTCCGAGGTCCCGACTCCCACTCCCGCAAACTCGACGCCGCCGTCTGGCTCATCGAAGGAGGGCCCTAGAAGCCAGTATCTCGCCCAGCGCTTTGTAAAGGGTTCCTCCCAGGTGCGGTTGGACCATGTGAGCGCTTCGGAGGACATAGACTCTTTATGGAAAGTGGGGGTAACCTTAGAGAAGTTCTTCTCCAGGAGTTCGCTGAGCACGACTGATCAAGCTATGATCGAGTCGGCCGGGCCGGTGGGAGGTCTTGATTCTGCTGAAGTCTTCCTGCAGAGGACGATGGCCATTGTGGATCATTGGAAATATAAGTGAGCCAAGCAGCAGGAGGACTTGGCGAAGCTGAAAGGGCGAGTCCAACCCTTGAAGGAAGAAAACTGGGCATTGGCAGTTGCTCTCGACGACACCAAGATGCAGAATGAGGCCGAGATGCAAGCTACCCGAAAGGAGCTGGAGAGGGTCCACAAGTCCTTGGAGATTTCTCTGAGGTCTAATGAGACTTACGCTGCCCAGGTGCGTGAGTTGCAGGAACTTGCCAACTCTTCCCGAGCTCGGGTGTGCTCTTTGGAGGATGAGGTCACTGCACAGAAGGCCGAGTTGGTGGCGGCGGCCGAGAAGCATCTTTGCGACGAGGTCCTCCTCGGTGGGAAAGAAAAGGAGGTTGCCGCTTTGAAGGTGGACCTCGTGAAGCTGGAGGAGGCGAAGGCGGGGCTGGAGAAGAAGCTCGAGGAAACTGAGTGGGCTGTTATGTTTGAGCACAAGAGGGGATTCCTCAAGGCAGCTCACCAGGCGAGACTTCTCGCACCAGGGTTCGACCTTTCCGCCATGCATGTGGAGAAGGAGGTCTGCTTTGGGAAGCTGGTGAAGGAGGACGACCTCGAGGACAACTCAAGTGAAAACGCCTCCGCCTAGGCTACTTTTGTAATTTCTTAGTTTTGTTTTCTTTTCTTTGAATTCGTGTATTGAACTTGTGAAATTGTTGTATATATATATTGTTTTTTCGAGATTTCGATGGTTCTTCTGTTTTTGAACTTGTGTGTTTTGCGCTTGTGTGTTTTGCGCTTTTCCGGGGCTCAAACTTGGCCTGATGCGAATAATTTGTCCTGAGGTTCGAACTCGACCTTTAGCTTAGGATGAAATAAATCGTACCAAGGTTCGGACTCGACCTCGACGTAAAGCAGAATAAATTGTACCAAGGTT